GAACAGGGGCTAAAAGGGCCGATGAACCAACGCCAAGGAACCCGAGAAAGGCAGCAAGGACTCGCGACCACAAATTAACTAAACCAAAGAACCAAGAAACCCAAACCAAGGAACCCGAGGAAGGAACCATGGAACCGAGGAATCAAGACCCAGGAACCAAGGAAACAAGACCCAGGAACCAACACCGAGGAACCCGAGGAAGGCAGCAAGGAACCAATACCAAGGAACCGAAGAACCAAGGATCCCGAGGAAGGCTGGCCTGCCAGGCACGGCACCCACCGATTCTCTTCACAAGCAAGCAGGAACCCTCCAGACCAAGCCAACTGTGAGGACACTTTGCAAGAAAACACTGCTTGGGAAAGAAGCGACCCCCCCTCCTCGGATCGCAAGGGTCTGGCAATCTGACCCAGAAGACAGAAATACATTCCTGGCCGACGCTAGTGCCCCGAAGGCGCAAACGCCAGGCGCAGGGAGATGGTGGCGACAACCCAACGGGGCGGAACCCCGGAGTCGTCTGGCTCGCCACCCGGCGAAGCTGCCTGGCGACGCACAACTTCAGTGCGATCGAGATCAATCGGCAAAAATACAGACGTACATCAAAACAGCCACAAGGCAACCTTTGGCGTACACCCCAAGAGCCCACTTTCAAGCATGCAACGTGAATGCACCCCAAAATAGGAGACCAACAAACTTCGACCTTCCATCAAGCTCTTTGCATGGCTGCCCTCTCGCAACGGCGCTGGCGGTGACCCTCGACCGTGCGATCGAGCGACACCACATGCGGTCTAGGGCGAAATACATCACTGTATTGGTTCAGGCCACATGGGAACGATGGAAGGCCGTGGAGCCCGATTTGGGGATCATGAAGCCGCATTGAGCCATGTTACGATCAATACTGAGCCGCACTAAACCGGACTGAACCAACTTACGACATACCAAGACGATGCAGAAGCTTATCTCTCAGGAGGTGCAACCGGGGGCTGTGACGGCCACCTGTACTCGTGGGCCGAGGGGTCTTGGCACAGCAGTCATTCAAGTCACATGGCCGACTCAAGATCTTAGTGGGCCCTGGAAACGACAGGGCTGTTTTTTTACTGGTTCCGTTTTGCCGTTTTTTGGGTGGTTCCAAAGCCGTTTTTTTGCCGGTTCCGTCGCTGTTTTTTGACCGGTTCTGGCTCCGGTTCCAATCCTGGAGCCGTTCTTTTGCCGTTTCTGGTCGCCGTTTGTTCTGCCTTTTCCATTTGCAAGGAGCATTTTTGGGGAAACGGTGAAAAAACGGCCCTGCCGTTTCCGGGGCCCACAAAGCTCAAGATATCCTGTATCCAATCATGCTGGCGTCTCACCTTCTCTTACCCGCCGCCCGTCGCCAGCGCGACCGCCACCCTTCTGCTTCCACCGGCCTCCCGCTGGCCCCCGCCGCAGGCGAGGTGCGCTGAAGGCGGGGCCCTCTCTTGGGGGTTTAGGGCGCGTCGGGCGCCTTGGGGTGAGGACGACTCCGCTCGGCGAGCAAGCTCGAGTGGGAGCCAGGTGTGCTCGAACTGTTCAGGGAGCGTGTGACGGAGGCCACTCGTCATGGCGACCGTGACCTGAGAGGCGGACGATCACGCACTACATTGGTATGGATGCCACGACTGCGCGGGGGCAGCCAGCAAAACATGCGTTGGCGACACGCACAGGCGGGTGGCGGCGGGGGGCTTCTTTGAATTGGGGGAAGTTCGCATGGAAGGACAGGCTTAATAGAAGCCACCTGCCTGCCTTCCAAGAAGCCCATCCGCCGTCTCAAAAGGCGGCTTCCCTCGCGGCACCCCAGTGCTCGCGCCGCCAAACACGGGGCACGCCGTGGCAGCAATCCCAGAGTGGCCGATGTACGTCAGCCTGCATCTGCAATACCTGCTTGCATGCATACCCAGAGCCTGTTCCAAAATGCACGTTTCCCGACACGAGAAGCCACGGAGGGCACATGAGCATACAGCTGCATGCTGCCAGCGCTGTCGGCAGGCGCGCTCGTTCTTGGACAGCGCAACCGATCCTGCCCTGGCAGCTACGCGACACCAGAATGTGGGGATACAAAGGTGCGGGCGAAAGTAGAGTGAGAATGGAGCGAACATGGAGTGAATATTGCCCACTGATCCCTGGATCCCCCCCGCCCTGGGGCGGCAACACCAGAACACAGAAGGGGGCAGGGCAGCGAACAGAGGGGTGAGCAAGTCTGACACTTGGCGAGAAGGGAACGGATCCTGAGGATACACGGGACCCGGATCCTGGAGCCTCTCCTCGGGGCTCTCTTTTCATCCTGAGTGCGTTCGTTTACGGTCCCGGGGCCCGGGAACGGCCCGAGAAGAACGAGACGTCCAAAGACCTGCACGATCCGCCCCCCTTGAGAACCAATTCCTTCACAGCGATGAGCGAAGGCGAGCAACCAAAGAGATCGACTGCTCCATCTTCAAGGAGGGGTACCAGGAGGTCACGACCCGTTCCCCGGGGCGTCTTGTCATCAAGATAAGTTTTTGACGGCCCTGTGGCCCTGTGATGCATGTGACGGCGTAATGGGATTGACGAACCTAGATTCCCCCAACAGTGCCTGCACCGAGGGGTTCTTCGCTCGGTTTCTTCAGCAGTTGGACGGGCCCGCCGAGGATTCTTAGAGTTGCGCCGCCCAGTGCCGCATCACGGGAGCTCGTGGGCACCCTGGTGCGCTGGGCGGGTCCACCGAGGTTGCACCGCGTGGCCCCCCGTGCCGTCTTCTGGGCGCTCGTGGGCTCCGCGCGGCGCTGAGCTTACACCACATAACTTGGACCACATATCTTACACCGCTTCGCCTGCACTACACAAGTTGCAACGCATAGCTTACGCCGCATCGCGTCAACCTCAAGCTCACACCATAAACTACGCGACATAGCTTGCACCGCCTAAGTGATACCTCCACAGCTCACTCCACGTAACTTACACTCCATAGCTTGCACGACCTAGCTTGCATCACATAGCGTCCCCCTCCATGGTGCAATCACGAACTGCGTGGGGTCCACGCCAGCTAAGATGCTTTGTTTTTGTCCATGCGGTGGAGGTCTGGTTGCCAGCAGGGGTGCCGTATTTCCAAATCCTCCGAAGTCCTGAACCTCTCAGCTCGCTGGAGTTTGGGAGCCCCCGATCCCAGCACTGGCAAAGGCCTTGCGCCCTGGGCCGCTGCTTCCACGGCTGCCATCCCTTCTGCTCTGGCTGCCGCTGCCGCTGCCCCTCCCGCTCCTCTCCTGCTCTCCCTGCTCCCACTCATATCCTCCCCTCCTCCTGCCCTGCTCCTCCTCCTCCTGATCCCCCTCGTCTTGTTTTCCTCCTCATTTACCCCCTTCTTCCCCCCCCCTCCCCTCCCCCTCCTCATACCCCCCCCCCCTGCTCATCCCCAATCTCCTGCTCTTCCCCAACGAGTCCTCTGGAGGTCTTGGGGTGCATCACGAAGGCCTCCCAGGCTCCCATGGAGGGAGGCCCCCTGGAGACCAAACAAACTAGATGGTAGAGGCGGGGGAGTGGGGGGATAAATCGCATGCTCTTCGATTATCACCCCCTCCTCCTCTCCCTCCTCCTGCATCCCACTCCCATCCTCCCAGTCTTCCCTCCCTGTCCGCCCTCATCACGCGAATCCTTCTCCGCGTCCTCCTCCACCAACACCTCCACCCAACCCCCACTCCTGTAGGACCCTCACGAGGAGGAGGAGGAGGAGGAGGAGGAGGAGGAGGAGGAGGAGGAGGAGGAGGAGAAGAAGGAGGAGGAGGAGGAGGAGGAGGAGCTGGACGAGGAGGACCGAAACGATGAGGAGGAGCATTAGGAGGAAGATGCGGCGGAGGAGGAGGAGGAGGAGGAGGAGGAGGAGGCGGAGGATGAGGAGGATAGGGAGGAGGAGGAGGAGGAGGAGGAGGAGGAGGAGGAGGCGGAGGATGAGGAGGATAGAGGAGGAGGAGGAGGAGGAGGAGGAGGAGGAGGAGGAGGAGGAGGAGGAGGTGGAGGGGGAGGGGGGCGATGCCGAGGACCCCTCCAAGCCAACCCCGCGCCGTCCTCGGGTTCCGCGCCCGCCGCGGACCCCCGCCGCACCGCATCGAAACTGCGGCCCGACATGGCTGGCTGGCCACCGCTAGGTGGGCACCGCCGGCCGCCCTTGCGAGGTCGGGCGAGGGCGCGGCGGCGGGCGGGCCGCGAGGTGCGGGGTGCGCCGGCCGTCTGTCGCGACGGCCGCTCCCGCGTCGTCGTGCTGACCCTCGTCCGTCCGCCCCTCGCCGCTGCTGCCCCTCCTTCTCCTCGTCTACCCTCCATCATTGTCCTCCTCCTCCTCCTCCTCCTCCTCATCCTGCTCCTCCTCATTCTGCTCCTGCTGCTCTTCCTCCTCCTCCTCCTCCTCCTCCTCCTGCCCCTCCTCCTCTGTCTCCTCCTCCTCCTCCTCCTCCACCTCCTCCTCCTCTACCTACCCACCCATCTAACCTAATTACCTGCCTACCTTCCGACCGATCTACCAACCCACCTACTCACCTACCGACCTACCTACGTACCTGCCTACCGATCTACACACCTAGCTCGCTACCTGACTACCTGGGCATGTGCGCGGACGAGGTGGCAGGGGGGGCATGGGACGAAGTAGAACAAGGGAGGGAGGAAGGGGGGGAAGGGCACGGGCAGAAGGAGGGGGTGGTGATCGCACGGCCCAAGAGCTGAGTTACACCGCGCTGGCCGCCGACCCATACCCACGACCCGCTAAAGCCCCAGACTGAGGCAGAACCCGGCCGTCCGGATCTCTGCCCGTGACGCGAGGCCTCTGTCGGCTACACGCCAGATTTCGCCCTGAGCAAGAGTGACCCTTAGTGCGCGGCTTTCGGAGGCCGCCGGGACGACCAAACCCAACCGCGAAAGCCCGTGCTGCAGAATCCCGTGGGCCCGAACCAAAGGCCGCTCTGGCGAAGGGTCGCTCCCGGGTCTGGTCGAATCCGGGCCTCTCCTTGGACTCCTTGGCCGCGCCTTTCTGGTGGAAGGCCATCGCAAATCCGGTCTGATAGAACGCGCCAGCAGCGGGAACCACGTGCTCCACATCATCGAAGCACCTAGGTCGTGGTAGGAAGGGGAGCTCGGGGACAGGGGGAGAGGAGAGGCCTGCGACGAGCAGCGAGGCGGGTCAGAAGCCGGCAAACCGAAAAGTGCGCGCAGCTCGCGGCGCGGCTGGGCTCTTCAGCGGGTGCCTTCTCTCGAGGGGGACGGGGAGCAGGAAAAGGGGAGCGAAAAATGACAGAACCATAAAACCCGGAGGTCCGTGCGGATTTCTTGGATCTGCGCTGAACCGCCTCACCTCCCTGGCGCGCGGAGCGCGCCAGGGGCGGCTTCGGAGGCGCCGCCAGGGGGCTCCAGCGCGGATCCGAGAAATCCGCGCGGACCTCCAAGTTTGCATGTTTATGTCATTCTTCGCTCCCCTAAGGAAGGGGAGGAGGTCAGGAGGCAATTTTCGGGATGTCTTCGTCGCTAGAGGGAGGAAGGATTCTCATTCTTGAATTGCAGGCCCGCGCGGATTTCTTCGATCGGAGCTTGGCCCTCCCTGCCTGGCGCTACGTTCGCGAGGCACCGCTTTCAGCAACGATCGATGGAATCTTGGGGAATCTCCGCAACAATATGTTTAGGCACAGACTCTTTCTCTTGGAGATGAGAGGTGGGGCGACGATATTCATACAGATCCACTGCGTCTGGCCAGGCATAGCCTGGGACCAGGAGCGATGCATACGCCCTCCTTGCTTGGCAAGGAGGGCATATGCATCGCTCCTGGAACCAGTGCCTGGCCAGGGCCAGTGTACATCTATAGATCTCGTCGCCCGAGGAGGGGGAGAAGGGGATACGAGGGAGGCGAACACTTGGGACAAGCGAAAAGCCGGGACACTCCGACCTGCTAAAACGATCCCAGCCACTGGATCAACATACTACATGGCGACGTGGCTCAGTCAATGCCGGGCGCGCGTCCACACAGATCGGAAGCCGTCCTCTCTTACCCAGTGCAACTCCTCTGTGGTGCTCCACGTACTGTCGAGCTCGGCGTTCCCACAGTGCCATCCAACGCCTTTGATCAACTCGATCTTCAACACGACGTCTTTTCGCGGTGGGCGCGAGACGTTGGCTGTAAGCTTGGCATGCCGTCCCTCTTGTGCCCCATTGACCACGTTGACCGGATTACCCTTGATGTCGACCCAGACTCCGGTGAAGTCCTCTGGCCTTGGAAGCAACACAAGCTGATCCATGGTCAGACACCGACCCCGATCGAGACAGACCCGCCCATCTACCTAGCCCGATTCAGTCATGGGCGACGCTCGAAAGCCGTACAACAAAGTGTCACGAGAAGCGCGGGCCCGAGGAGAGGCGCGCTGATCAGCGCAGCCTCATTCCGACTTGTGGCACCGACCCCGATACGACCAGCCCGTCGACCTGACATCGGGGAGGGGGATGAGACGCGAGAGAGGGACGAGGTTCGGTTCGCAAACGCGTTGAACTTTGTCAGTGGCGCCACCGAGTGACACAGAAACAAGGATTTCGACTCTCCTCACCCCTTCTCCTCCTCCTTCTCCCTCGTCTCCCTCCTCCTGCCACCCCTCTCTTGGATCGACCCTTGGCATATTACAGGGCTGTGTTTTGACCAGAATTTCGATGACTCCTGGGCCTCTCCTGGTTTGCGCCTTCACTGTACCTTCGAGTCCGTATCCAGCCGAGAGATCGAGAGCTCGAGCTTTGCGTCGTCAGAGGCCGCATATAGAGACAACCGGGGGAGCTGCGTTCCTTACCCCCCTGTGGGAGACCATCGCATCGACGATCCCGCGAGAGGGGTCTACGATCCGATGGGTCCCCCAGGAAATTCTGGACAACAGCCTCCCCCATCACGAGCAACAGAAACGCTCAGAGACCGCGATCCCCAATCCGCGACCCTCTTCCTCTTGGAAAATGGAAGGGAAATCTCCAGAGGCCTCCGCGGAGGTCTTAGAGGTCCTGGGAGCCACAGGTCCAGAACATTGCGGAAAACGACCAGGAACTCCTTCCTCCTCCTCCTGCTTCTTTTTTTCCTCCGCCTCCTCCTTGACTCCTGATTCCCAATCCTCGAAGTATGTATCCCTGCTCTCGCAAGCTTGGCATGAAGGAAGCGGTACCTGGTGGACAACCAGACATCCAACGCCTGGTCCAATCCGCGGCCTCACAAGTCTCGACCCCTTCTTTCAATAGCTTCAACGAACGAAAAACACGCACCCATACCAATAGGGGGGTCGGAGGGAGGAGGACTGTCTATGGGTATGGGTGCGGATTGTCGGACCCTGGGGGGGGCTCCCGCTCGAGCGGGGAACCCCATCCGACAACACGCACCCATAACCTTCTCCGTCCCTCCTATAGGTATGGGTGTTTGTGTGTGTGTGTGTGTGATGTTGAATCGTCACGTGTGTCGTCCCGCAACATCTTTTGACTATCCCGGGGCCCGACAACAGCCCTCGGGAGCCTAAATCGATAGAAGAAACCCTGGGATTGAGACGATCCGTCCGCAGGATGCCCAGGCACAAGTCCTGAACACACATGGGGCATTTCCAGGGACAGCCTCGCGCTCCAAGTATTTTTCGACGGGCAGGTCGTGCAATCCGTTTGATCATGCGCCATGTTGGTGTCGTCCATGAGCACAAACTCCAGCAAGTGCAGCACGTGCTCCCCCGGGCCACCGGGCGGATCGCTGCCGCTCGTGCCGGCAGAAGAAGCGGCGGCTGCGGGCGACGGGGGCGCGCTCGCTGCACGACTGCCACGCCCCCGCACTCCCGTCCGAAGGCGGCGAAAACCCTCCTCTCCTCAAGGACAACGGCCGCCCACGGCGACAACGCAACCGACAACCGGCCGAACCGACAGCGCAATCAAGACCGACAGGCCGCGAGCAGTCTGCAAAGGCGCGGCGGCCTGGTAGCGACGTGTCAGCCGACCAGACCGGACCGACCGAACGCAACCGACTGCGACGCAGCCGCACCGACCGAACTGCGGGCACCCTCGAGGATCCCTTCTCTTCACGCTGGGGCTGGTCTAGACCAAGAGATCCGCCGACGCACTTGTTCAATCCGCTGTCCTGTGCATGCCCCTTCCAGGGGGGGGAGCGTTTCGCTACAGATCCAGACTTGAGGGCCCCAGGGCCCAAGAAGGGCATCTCGGGGCCGAAGTTGGAGGGAAAAGCAAGAATTGCCAAAATCAAGCCTTTGGATGCATGGGTTCTCTTCGTGCCGTCTGGAAGGATCAAGCAACAGATCCGATGTCTTGATTTCTTCAACACGGGGTCCGCGGAAAATGCGAGCCTTCTGGCTCGTTTTTGAATCGTGTTCGACTGTCTGGGGCTCCGTGGGGACCCCCAGTGTCCGAAAGCAGAGACAAAAAACAATATTGTTTTCTATGCGTCGAAGGTCTGGGAGGACCAGCCGTTTTCGTCAGGCAACTCAAGCCTCTGGAGGCCGTTCTGGAAGATTATGCCACCCCCTCGGCGCGACTGGGCTGCTGGAAAGCACCCCGAGGCTGGAAAACCTGCGGGGACCAATGGTATGGTCAAGGTCAATCCTGCATGCCCGCCACGGGCCGGCCGCTTCGAACGCAGGCGGGCGACACCTCCTCGCCCATGCCGCGACCACAATGCCCGTCGACGCTGTCAGGTCGGGCCCCAGGGATCAGGAAACCGTGCCGATCGATACTCTTGGGCCAGGGGCCCAAAGGCGCCCAAATGATCTCGAAGCCGAAGAAGCCGAGGCGGCGGGTCTGTCGCGCGTGCGGCCTCTGGAGGCCAGGTGTCGGGCCTCCGGGCCGTCAGCGCACGGCGCGGGACGAGAAACGGGCCCTGGGGAGAAAGACCCGGTGGTGGGGCCCGCGCAGCGAGCAGATCGGAGCGCCAGGCGGCCGGGTCCGAAGACCTCGCGATCGCCGAGCATTCCCTATCCACGCCCTCGCGGTCTGGACTCTGGGGCGCGACCCCGCGCCTGCGGGCTTGCACGGGCACGCTCCGCGCGGACATCCTCCGCAAAACGCCCCCGTATCCGCGGGGTCACGGCCCCTGGGCCCAGACCGCGAGGCCGGAGGAGGAGGAGGAGGAGGAAGAGGAGGAAGAGGAGGAAGAGGAGGAGGAGGAGGAGGAGGAGGAGGAGGAGGAGGATTGACGCTACGAGCGTGTGCGCTCGGCAGCCTGCGCAAGAAAAGGAGGAGGAGGAAGAGGAGGAGAGGAGGAGGAGGAGGAGGAGGAGGAGGAGGAGGAGGAGGGGGAGGAGGAGGAGGAGGAGGAGGAGACCTCGGCGTCCTGCTGAGCACCCCGCTCGAAGCGAGCCCAGGTGGGCCCCGGCGAGCCCGCAGGCGCCGCGGCCGTCGCGGCGACGGAGCCCCACGCGCCCGCGCACGCCCCCGCGGCGGCCTCCTCTGGCAGCCAAGGGGGGGGTTCCGGGCCCCCGACGGCGGGGCCTCGATCGGCCTCCTCCTCCCTCCTCCCTCCTCCTCCCTCCTCCCTCCTCCTCCTCCTCCTCCTCCTCCTCCGCCTCCTCCTCCTCCTCCTCCGCCTCCTCCTCCTCTGGCAGCCAAGGGGGGGTTCCCCAGCCTCCGACGGCAGGCCCTCGCGATCGGTGTCCGATGGCCCCGGGGGCCTCAAGCGCACCCCGGGGGCCGAGAATGGCGGACGACCTCCTCGGTCGAGGGGCATCGATCGGGGGAGAAAAAGATACGGATACGTGTTGTCCCCCTTCGTTTTCGGCCTTTCCTGGTCCTCCTGGGAAATCCTCGTTGTCACCGCTGGATTCGCCTCGAAATTCTGGTCAGAACGCACCCCAAGAGAGGTCCGGGGACAACACGTATCCGTATCTTTCCGCCCCCCAAATCGAGGGCCGAGGAGGGTCGATCGGGGATCGAGGCGGGTGGAGGACCGTGGGGGATCGGGGATCGGGGAGACTCGAGAACGTGCAGAGGATTGAGGCCTCCATGGTAGGAGGGACCATGGCAAATTGCGGTTTCTGGTTCTCCCCAGGTTTGGCCTCAAGGGCCCTCGCCGGGCCCCGAAGTCCGTCAGGATGTAACGCCGAGCTCTTGGGAATGGGGTCGGGGCTTCCAGGGACCCCACATCGGAAAAAATCCAGACTTTGGAGAATGGTGGGGGGAGAAGGGGGGGAGAACGACGACGACCTCCTGCCCCCTCCTCGAAGGGAGGCCTCCCGAGGCCTCGTGGCTGTCCTCACGACGAGCAGCCCGGGGCCAAGAGAGCGGCGTCCCAGCAGAGACCTCGGACCTCGCCCCGCGGCTGCAGGCCATCCCAAGTCTCCAGGGCAAACATCGGACGCTGGCGCCGAGGTGATTTGGGCGTTGCTGTCGGTCTGCGAGAGTTTCCCAGCCTCGGGGTGCTTGCCAGCAGCTCTGCCTCGTCGAGGAGGTTCTGGGGGGGCCGGGATCGCCACGAGAGGCAGCTGGGCCCGAGGCACAGCCCGAAAACGATCGATCATCCAAGACCTCCAACGTCATTGCTGAAGCAAAGATGTTAGGCAGCGTGGACCCATGCAGTGTCGTTCATGCAGTAGGCTTTGCCAGCTATGTGGTGCAACCGATGCTTGCAATCTATGTGGTGCGATCGATGTTGTGCAGCATAGTTTGCGCGATCTATGGTATGCAATATATGTTGCGCCACCTACGTGGTGCAATCTATGTGGTGCAACCTATGCGGACAAAGCATGTGGTGCAAAATGTGTGGTGCGAACTAAGTTGTGCAACCTATGTGGTACATGGTGCCATTTATGTGGGGAAATATGTGTGGTGAAGTATATGTGAAGAAGTGTATGTGGTGCCATCTTTGTGGCGCACCAGGTACGGTGAAGCCTACGTGATGCAATCAATGTGATTCGATCTGTGCTGTGCAGTTAATAGAGTGCAAGGAATGTTGCGCAACATCTGTGTACACACATATATATATATATATACACAGAGGTACGGTTATAGCTACGTAGTGTACTCTATGTGATGCAACAAATGTGGAGCAACATATGTATACCAATGTATGTGGTGCAACGTGTCTGGTGCAATCTATGTTGTGCAAAGCAATGCCAAGCAACGCAATGCAATACGATTGCAAAGTAGTGCGATTGCAAAACAACCACTGCGGAACGATGCAAATCAATGTAAGCCCAGACGACGGGCGGCGACGAGGCAGCAACGGGGACCACGGAAACGCATGACCGACGGTCAGGCCCAGACGACGGGTGGCGAAGTGGCGGCGACGGCGGCTACATAGCTGCCAGACCGACATACCTACCCAGCTCCTTCGAAGAGAAACTAGAGGGGCGAAACTAATTGACCCCCCCTTCTTTGATCGAGCTCCTCCAATATGGCCCCAAGATGGCCTCCAACGTTCCCAAGAGGGCCCCAAGAGGCGCCCAGGAGGCCTCCAAGAAGCCCCCGAGAGGTCCCCAAGATGCTCCAAGAGGCCCCAGGGACCGCCAAGAAGACCACAAGACGCTCCAAGAGGACCTCCTAGAAGCTCTCGCCAGACATCGAAGACACTCCGAGAAGCATCCAAGAGGCCTCTGGCCTTTCTGCTCGCCCTCCTCCTCGTCCTCCTGTTCCTCATCAGCTTGTTTCTCCTCCTCCCTCCTCCCTCCTACCCCTCCCCTTCCTCCTCCTCCTCCAATTCCTCCTCCATCCTCCTGTTGGGGTATGACAGTTTCCCCAGCTTTCAATCTACTGCGTTCCTCCACATGCCCGGTCATGGCAACTCGCCTTGGCATCGTTCCTTGATGGGCTGGTGGGGTGACTTTTTTGGTCGGCGGCTCCGAGGCAACGGACAGGGAGCGGAAGCTCTCTGGTGGGGTGACGCAAAGCGTCTAGAATTGCATGTCATCCTCAGGGTTGACGAACCCAATACGCCCGAAGTCTGGGAACGTCTCAAAACCTAAACATGAATAGTCATCTCTTGCATGCTGGCTGAGGCTGCGTCCTTCAACGCGTGCAAGCGGGGGCCCTCCGCCAGGCCCCCCGCGGACAGCTGCTCCAGCCCGCGGGGAGGAGCGGGCGCCGCGTCGGTGGCTGGCCGGGACCTCGCGCGGGGACACCCTCCACCACCGGCTCCTCCCTCCATCCCGAATCCCGACATACAGAAACGCTCGTTAGTTTTGGAACGTGTGCAAATGGTTTCGGAAGTTCCAGGAGGATTGCGGGACCCGAGGTGGTCTCCGTTATCCTACGAGCACACCCCCTGCACGAATTACACTGACACGTCAATAGGCGCGGCTGCGTGTCGAGTGCATCAACGGCCACGCGCTGGCGCGAGAAGATGCAACAACTGTGGCTTTCGTTTGGAGCGCTCTTTAAATGGACATCATATTAAAAACAATCAACCATTAGCTGCGTAAGATGATTAAATACGCGAGCCATGCCGAACATCGATCGCTGATGCAACATTGGGTGACTGGCTCGATGGGATCCTTCAGAGCTCTGCTATGGAAGCACCGGGCTACGCTGAAACCGTGCAGTTCGAAATGCCCAGATACTGGGGGGAACACGTAAGAGGGAGCATGAGGAGCACTGCCGCAAGACATCCTGAAGAGAAGGCCGAGCCCAGGAAACCGACGAGAATCGCCGAAAACGTCCGACAATCTCCAACCTCGAACCTTGATGTGCCTACCCCCGAGCATACCCCCCGCCCTCGCGTTGCCCCCGACTGTTCCCCCGACAGCCCCGTCGGGGACTGTCAGCGCGAGCCCGTGTCAGCCAGGGCCGCGTCGGGGACCCAGGCGGGCCAGCATAACTCCCAAGCCCGGGTTCGCGAAGGGCGGGGGAGCGGGGTCGGCTGCAGGTCACTCCCAAACCTGGGTCAGCCAGAGGATCTCGGAGGGGATTGGCAGAGCCCCGTCAGCGCTGATGGGGACACCGACAGGTACCAATACCGCTGCTCCCCAAATCTCCCAGGTTGCGTTCTGACCCGAATTCGGGGCGAATCCAGCGGTGGTGACGAGGGCCTTCCAGGAGGCCGAAAAAGGAGAAATCGAGACAAGGGTAGCAATATCGGTACCTTCCGTGAGATCCGTCGGCGCGACAAAATTGGAACATTGTAAAATATCGCGACCAAGGTACTAGCCGCATCAATCCGTGAGAGTCTTGGGTCCCGAAAGCGGGCGAATTTCCCCTGCTCGAAAGAATTGAAACGCCAGCATCTCAGGGCTTAACCTCCTCTTCCTCCCGGCGCCCTGGGGCCTGAGCCGGGGAGACGCAAGACTCGGGTTCGGGAGACTTGGCTTGGCCTGACGGGGCCATCATGAAAATGACGAGAGCCAATTTGAACCTCAACGCGAGCTCCCGCTGCAGACATCCCACGACAACCAGACCGTCAGATCCAGGACGCGCTCGTCGAAAAAACGTCGGCGAAACCGAGTCCTGGGCCCAGACATGCGACGTCCTGATTTTTCTAGGACGGCGCCCCCGAGGGCCCGACCCTTTCCCCAGGACCGGCTGTTCGTCCCCAGCTGTTTCCTGACGGCCCCGGGGCCCCCCTCGCCAAATCAGAAAAACAAGTTATAAGTATCGTAAGTCGAGTTACGCGGCAAGACAAACACTTACGATACATGACGAATACTTACGAAATTCACTATACTTATACGAGGTTATAAGCATCTTACACCCATCTATATAGGTAGGGTCCAAGCAGCATGAGTAGCACGAGCCTCTAAAGGGGGGGCCCGGCGAGGGCCCCCCGGGGCAGAACATGACGACCAGCCTCCCGTCTTATACTTTGGCGCCCGAGTTGTCCGGGGTAACTCGTGTCCGGGGTAACTCGGGTTTGGATTCCCGAAAAAGGAACCCGAGTTAGCCCTGACCCGAGTTACCCCTGATGATTCGGGGCTCTGGACGCCCGAGTTGTCCGGGGTAACTCGGGTCCGGGGTAACTCGGGCTTGGATTCCCGACAAGCGAACCCGAGTTAGCCCTGACCCGAGTTACCCCTGATGATTCGGGGCTCTGATATACGACGCGAGCACGCCCGGGCACTCGAGCCGTACGGGGCGGGGCGCCTCGCCGGCATCTTGTTGGCGCCGCTCTTCGGCGGCTCGGCGGGCTCCGCCGCCGGCGGCAGGCCGAGCGCCCTCCGGGCCTCCTCGCCCCGCGGGCCGCCGCCCAAAGAGGGCAGGTCGCCGCCGACTCCTCCCTAACGCGGGATGACGATTAACAAACAAAATCGGAGAGAACGATTAAAACAAATAGTTTTCTGCTACTTCTGCATGCAATTTCTGACTGGAGGAGAACGATCAAAAACATAGTTTTCCAGCCCGCGGCCGGTTTTCTCTAATCGTCATCCCTGGCGCCGCCGCGTGAACACGACCCCCGGTCATTTATTAATCGTCATCCTCCATTATGAGTTTTGCCCCCCACCCTCCTCGAGGATCCCAGCAGGGAGTCCGAACGTTTCCGGGCGGATACTGGAAGTCTTCGGCCCGTTTCGGGCCTCTGTGGGGACCTCTGGGGGCCTCTGGGGGTCCGGGGGTCCGGATCCCGGGGCGGGAGCAAAGCTTCTGAGACCACCGACTCCTCCCGGCCTCGCTGTGTCGATAGGGCGCCTCCCTCCGCCCCTCCCTCCCTCACTCCAAGACGAAGCCAGGACGAGGAGAAGTTCGGGTGAGGAGGAATCTCTGAGATCCGGAGGCTCTGGAGGTCCCCTCCCTCCCTCTAACGCGAGGTGTGGCCGAAGAGAAATATTATTCGGGTCGATGAGTCGAGGATATGGCTCGATCGCCGCGGCTTGCTCAGGGCGTTCCGGAGCGCTCTGACAGCCTCGTCCTGGCCCCGTCCTCTCCTCCCGTCCCTCTCCTCCCGTCCCTCCCCTCCCTCCTCCTCCTCCTCCTCCTCCTCCTCCTCCTCCTCCTCCTCCTCCTCCTCTTGTGCCCGCAGTTCTGGGCCCGTTTTCCGTCCAGGAATCGCGACTCCCCAAGCAATTAATTGCTTCAACCCTGGCGTTGTGCACAAACTTCGGCACCTTGGGTGATGGCGTCGGGCCGCCGGGCCAACAGGCACGGATATCCAGGGCGAGAGGGCGGGGTCCAGGTGCTGAAAAGTATCCCGAGGTGAAGTCGGGCGTGTCCCCCTACAGGGGGATTTTGGACGAAACATAGCAAATAGTCAAAACACACACACACACACACTCATGGTCAAAGCATACATGAAAAAAATCCCCAGACGCTTTGTTTTACCAGTTCTGCATGTTCCTCCCGTAGAGGGACAGGCCCACCTGAACCCCGAGGCTGGGAAGCCTCCGAGGTCCGACGACGGCGCACGCAACAAAAACTTTGGCGCCCACCGTGGCAGACCTCGCCCGCCCCCAGGCTGGGGACACCGATGCCTGGACCGCTTCCTGCTCCTCCTGCTCGTGCTCCCAGGCTGGGAAACACCTGGAGGAGGAGGAGGAGGACCAGCAGCAGCAGCAGCAGCAGCAGCAGCAGCAGCAGCAGCAAGAGCAGGAACAGAGGGTGAGGAGGGGACGGGGAGGAGGACGAGGAAGAGGAGGAACAGGAGCAGGAGGAGGAGGAGGAAGACGAGTGAAACCTCGCCTGCTCCCAGGAGGAGGAGAAGGAAACCTCGCCCGCCCCCAGGCTGGGGAACACCCCAGGCTGGGTGCGTGCTGACGAGGACCTCCAGGCGAATCTGGCGTTGGCGACGAGGGTCTCCGAGGAGGCCCAGAAAGGGGAAACTGGGCGAAGGGGAAGTAGCGGTGTGCGTACCTTTTCCTCCTCTGACGGGCGTCCTTCAGCGGCATCCTCCGAGAGGACTTCTTGCAATCCGCGGCCCAACATGCAGAACTCCCGACCCCTTCCCTCGGGGTGGCTGTGCGTCCCGGATCCAATTGCTGACGGTCCCCGGGCCCGATTGGGCGCCCCGTGGGCCGACATCCAGGAAAGAACGCCCGGATGCACGAAAACGGGTCTTCTGACACGTCGGCCGCGGGAGGCCTGGCCGTGCTCTGCTCCCGGGCGCCCTCGCCGGGCCCAGGGAGCCGTCAGAGAGGAGGAGGAGGAGGAGGAGGAGGAGAAGGAGGAGGAGGAGGAGGAGGAGGAG